ACTAAATAATTTACAGGGATTGACAGAGACAAGCCTTCAGACTTCGTATTAGACATAAGCAAAACTCACCCCGCTTGTGCGTTAGGGTATTCAGAACAATTCCCTTTACTTCGAGTAACAGAGCAGTTCCCTTTACTCCCCAGGGAGGTAAATGGAACTGTTCCATATACTCTACAAGTACCGCTACATGTACCGATACTCGAGCACCCTGCAACAAAAGAGACTTGGTGGCCTTTATCCAAATAAATATGCGTCCTGAGATATGTATCCAACCTAACGTACCTATCTATGAGGAAAGCTTATGAATTCAATAGCTCTGCTATTGATGGATGAGGTCTCTATCTAATGAAACGGGTGTGGTCTATTAAATCTAAATAATTTCATTCTAGCTAGCTATCCTTGGGTCCTCGACAGCAGGAAAATGGGCACTGACACAGGAATCACCACCAAAATGATAGGAAATAACACTGGAGGGATGAATCAAGTAATAGGATCCACTCTCCTGTCTGCGTGCGAGTTGTCGTGTAGCCTCCTCTTGCTGCCTTTTCAAATGACTCGATCAGGCTGGAGATAGATACTAGTAGGTCTGAAGTTAACAGTCTTCTCCGAAGCAATCGACCACAGCCTGTTCCTTTTGTTATCCGGAGCGATCGATCAATCGATCGATCGATCTGACCCGACCCGACGCAATGATATTTTGTCAGCCGTCAATAGTGCAGCACAGAAAACAATAAATAGAGATGAGTTTTGTTCTCTGTGCTCAACTGCGGAAAATCGGTGACTTACCCTTGTTGTTCAACTTGACTGTCATGGGCCGAGGACTGCCATCCCATGGCCCATAGAATTCAATGAGGGTGGCTTTCAATTCTGCACCAGAGACGGTCAGCTGGGACGTTCAGCTTGAGTGAGGCTTGATAGAAGAGGTGCAACGATTGATCGACTCGAATAATTAAGACAACTCACCTCTTGACGGCCGAGATCCAACTGCCTTCACACGGTCCATAGAAATTCAGTGAGGGATGGCTTTCGGTTATGCACCTTCAATAACACTCTTGATATAAAGGCTTGATCGTTCCATCCAACACCACTCTTGTCGGCCAAGCTTGGATTTCTCTCCTGTTTGCCATAGAAATTCAATGAGGGAGAGAAGTCAGTGCTGTACCTTCAATGATAACACACTTGATAATAGGCTTACCTTATCGTAATAGTAGAGGTATCGTAGCGATCCGCCATCCACCATTATCATGTTGCGTGAGGAGGAGGAGTGTTTTTCCAAGAAGTGAGCACCTTTTTGGTGGTGAAGTCTTTTTGAAATTTAGTGTGGAATAGAGAGTACTATCCAATGATACGTCACAACACAGCTTACACACAGTAAACAGTACAGTTCCGATTACCTCTACGGCACTCAAGGGTAAATAGAACCATTCCCTTTAGCTTGCGCCAGCCTGAGAGAGCGGGGTGAGTTTTGCTTATGTCTAATCTAAGCTGTCCTGTGCACCTGTGCAGAACGCTAAAAGCTAGTGTAAAAATCTTTCGAGTGTTTTGAGTTTGAGAGAATGAAAGTTATGAGAGAGATTAGAAAACTACGAAAACTAATCCATGAGAGAGATCGTTGTGAAGTTCATTGAAGTTGGTCTCCCGCGGGAGGCCTCGAAGTGTGATATCGTAGGTTATGGTAATAACTCTACGTACTTCACGGTCCAATTTCGGAACACGTGGAAACTTCAGCTAGTAGCTGTCTAGTAGCGTTGAAGCTTTCCGCGCAGGCTAAATATCTAGAGCGATGTTTCATCAACAACCTAGTATGACTAGCAGTCATGAAAACCCTGTCTCAATGACTATTCGCGAGGGACTACGTCACGAGTCGAACTCAAACCCTATCTAGGATTGAGTCGCGAATAAGGCTAAGAGCCGTGTATTGCATTCGCCCCCTGACAAGGGTCACAGAAGGTACGACATCAGTCGGACAAGGAGAACATATGAATTAAAGTGCGGGGCACTCTCCGGAGATTGGATGTAAACATGTGCGCACGATGGCAATCCTACAAGGGATCAGGCCTTGTATAAGTGTAAATACCTTATGTTCCAAGTCTGGTAGACTGTGCCACCATTAGCGGTAGCATGTCGGAGCCGTACAGTGTCATTGTCATTGACTCGGTCTATATTGTAAGGACCTTTGTACCTTGGCTGACCGTACTTGCGGTGCTGATACTGGTGAATCATCACAGTATCGTTGACATTGTATTGATGAGGGACACGCGTCGCGTTTTCCCTATCGTTGTTTTGTTGGATAAGTCGTTGGCGACGTTCCTTTATGTATTTCCAGTTTGCTTCGAAACGGACGTTGTGAATTGCGTCACGATTGAACACGAGCTGTGCCGGCGTTGCACGCAAGATGGTCTGAATCGTGGCATTCATTGCAAAGCGAACCGCCGTGAGGACTCCATCCCAGGATCCATTCACGAGGTCGTCTTGGCACTTGATGTTTTGAACAGCGATC